TGAGGCTGTTCCTATCCCCAGAACCCTGCTACTGCCTCAACTGAAGCCAAAGTATATTCTGATAAATTGACTTGACTCCTTGGTGTGCCCACTTAGTGAACAGGGCCAGAAGCCAAGGCACAGCCCTGGGACCTTTCAGTTCAGGAGGACATCAGCATTTCAGTCTGACAATGGAAAGCATTAATATATTCAAACACTCCACAAAGAGGGAAAATCCCCATTCTGTATGTCACAACTATAAAGAGCTCTTCCCATGGACTCTAGAGGAATTAGACCTGCTCAGGAAATTCAGTCACCTGTTTTCTTTCCAGAGGACGTGCACTCTGGAAATGTAGGCCCTGCCTCATTCTGTGAAAGCGCCCTGCGCTTTCTGGCTTCCTGTAAAATGTGCCAAGATGACCCGATGGCTAAAGAGAAATGCCTTGTCTCCCTGTTTGCAAGGACCTGGTGGACATGCTGACATGATGAGTTCTATCGAGACAGAAATTATTGGTCAGCTGCAGACCAGTTCTCCAAGATTCCCGGGGGCCTAGAGATTACTAACAGCGCATGAGGCTTGATGCTGCTCCACCTACAGCTGGCAAAGCCTCATGGATTAAACCTCTTCTTTTTAAGAATTCCATGTCTTACAAATGAACAAAGTGGCAAAGCTGCTTAGAAAATAATAATGGATCTCAAACACCATTATTAGATTAGTGAATTTAACCATTCTAGGCCTTGAACTCAAGTTTTATAATTTTTTTCTACCTCTCTTCACAACATAAATAATTGATGTGCGACCCCCCACAACCAGTGGAATGACGTTTCCCTGCCCACAAGTCCTATAGCCTTCTGCTTGCTAGGAGGAGAGTCGTCCCTCTGGGCCCTGCGCTTGCTCTGAACCTGTCCTTTGAGTGATACAACTTGATTTCCAGATGATTGTGTTTCTGTCCTGGCCTGGCCATCTCAGTTTGAACTACTCCCCAGGGTTGTCCTCTTTATCATCTATTCATTGTCTATTTAAAACATCACAGCTTTTGCTCAAGTGTTCTTCCTCAATAGATCCCTTGTCTTGTTTCATAAGCTTGTGTGATTAAAGGGGACTGTCCTCAGAATAGCAGCTTGAGAACAGCCTGCAGCTGAAGGGCAGGAGGCGGAGGAAAGGCCCCTCGGCCTGCAGAAAGGAGTCACCTGGCAGAGTCATGCAGCTGGCCGTGTAGTTAGCTTGGAAAACAATATGTATTTTTTTTTAAAATTTTTCTGTATTTTAGGGAAGGGTCTACAGGGTGTTCAGGGTCTCACTCTTAGATCGGACTCATAGTGATTCTCCTGTTTACAGCCTCCCAAGTGCTGGGATTATAGGCACATGCCACCACACCCAGCCTCAATTGCCATCTCAGCACACCCCAGGGTTGGGGATGGCGTGGCAGGCCCAGGGATTGAACCCCTGACCCCTGTGCCTGCTTGCAGGCTCTTTAATCCACTGACGTATTTGGCCGGCCCTTGTTAGCTTGGAATTAGGCCCTGCTGCTTATTCCCCATCAATTGGCTAGGCATAAAGTTTAGGATTACCACTGACCATCCTACTACATGCTGGTCCCAGCTCTCAGTACTCAGCAGATTATTTTAAAACACTTCCTTTCTTCAGTCTGTGAACTTCACCAACTCTAACTGCAAACCTTACACAGATCTCTGAAAAGCATTAACTTATGAGCAAAGTGGCTTTTAGTTTTGCTGGAACAATACGCTGGAGCCCAGAGAATACACCTTTCCCCTCTGTGATGTGACATCTGATCGGAAACACTACCCATTTTTACCTATCACTGATGTATGCCTTCAGATTCTGCGCCTTCTCTCCCCTTCCAGTGGGCAGAGCAAAGCCATCAGTGATCCAGAAGCAAAGCAACCAAATGGCAACACTCACAAAATGCAAGAACAGGCACATATACACCACCAGCATCCTACCAGGAAGACCATGGTCTGTAGCAACACTGCAGCCACACAAACTGGCGAAACACTCACTGGAAGGAAGAAAAATGGGAAGGCTTTTCCTAAAGTGGAAGGAATGCGGCTACACTCATGTGCATGTGGTGGAGCATACGCCTCCACTTTAGCCTTCTGCCCCTGCCGGTTGCTTCTACCCAGTTTCCCATTGTGAGAATCAGGAAACAATCCAGCTGCAGAAAGGACCATGCTGAACCCCTCGAACATTTCCATGATGTTTCCCACTCATAAGACACTGATCTAAAATACTATTTAGAAAAGAAAGTTCTTCAATTATATTATAATACATTGATTGATTGATCGATCGATTGATTGATTGATTTCTGCCTTTCTGACTATAATGTACTTTGTATAGATTTTACATTTGGGGAGGGTAAAATTATTTTACACAGACACATGTGTAAGAGATGCAGCAAGAGGCAAAGGCACTGGGGTACAGTAAGTCATCTCTCTACTATATGAAGTCCTCATTAGTCAGTGAAAATCCTCTTTGTGTAATAATAATCGGAGAAAGAAGAGGGAATTACAAATTATTCTCTTACTCTGGGGACCACGTGTGATGATGGGATGTATGGGTTTTGAAAAATTTTTGTTGAAAACATGGAGGGTCTGCATCTTCCCAAGCCCATGTGGACCACTGGTCCATGTGGAAGAAGGATTCAGCGATCAGTTCATTCCCCATGAGGTGAGTCCCCTTGAATTCAAAGACTCAAAATCTCACACTTATTATGTCATTATTAGTTATGATCCAAGAACTCTTTTGGGTATAAATTCTCAACTCTTTGTGGCACTTGGAAAAAACAGCATTTACCTGCTGTCTAGGGAAGAGATTAGTGGTTTGAAAAATATTACCACATGGGAAATCTTTAGGACTAGAATCCAAAAGTGGAATTTTGTAGCTACCTGCGTATAGGTGTATGAGGCCAGGTTTCTTCTGTACCTTGGAGAGCATATTACAAACCAGTTTACAGTTTGCTTGTCTCCTTGCAAATAGTCTCAGTGTCTTAAACATCGTGAAAAGTCATGAGTTTTTTTGGTTTTGAAGCAGATTATTAGATGGGTCAGCAGTACAGGGGCATTTCTTTCATTATTGATTCCAAACCACGCACTGCATACTGTGCTAGATGATGGGTGGGAATGGAAACCATCATATGTCAAAGTTGTAGTTTTCAGAGTCGACACCATGCCATCACAGAGACCTGTGGGGCTCAGCCCAGTATTCTGGCCTTTTTCTCCTTACTGGGCCTCTTTACCATTTTCTCTTCATCCAAGGACTCCCAAGAGACACTTGCCCATATACTTCTTTATTCTTTCTTTCCAAATCTATTTAATTGCATTTCTCACAACCAAGAAATCTTCTACACTATTTAGCTTAGATTTGGATTGATTGCTTTGGCTCCTTCCACTTGCTATACAAGGATTTCCTTGACGTTTTTCTGCTTATTTCTTGAAAAACCCATTTTTAAGCCTTGGGTTTCCCTTCTAATGTCTACCCTGAATTAACTCTGTGTCGGCAGTTGTGTGGCCCTCTCACAGCAAGGCCATGTGGTCAGCTTTCTGTTTCCTTAGATTGGTTCAGACTTTGGGAGTGTCAGCTTGGAGTCTCACCTCTGGGAACTTCTTCCTGATCTTACACCACTCTGGTGGCCTTGCCTTGTGTCATTTCCTGACCAGATCCACTGTTTTCTCTCCTCCCCTGTTCTCTTCCCCTCCACTTCTCCCACCCCTACTTCTCCTGTCACAGTGGCGCCTCACCCCCACCTCCTAAACATTTGCTCAT